AATCTCCAAAGCGAACAAAAATGTTATCTAGTAAAAATTCAAGGGCATATATAGTATCAAAGCATGTCCAATTGACATAGTTTTTTTGTTTATTGCTACTAAAAAATGACCTAAAAGAGTTTGAACATATATATTCACATTCTGACTTTTTAAATGCCCATTTAATTAGGTGTGTGAATTTTTTCTTAATGAGAATGTGAGGCAATGTGGTATATAGGGTAGAAAAATCAAAACTTTGAACAGATTCAAAATCACCAATATATGCATGCAATTTATCAAGTACTTCCAACGAGTTCTTGACACTCCAAAAGTAATTAATTCCACTATTTTCGAAGGCCTTATTTGAACAATTTATTATCAGGTTTTTGATTGTACCAAGTGTACTGGTAAGAAGAATAGACAATTTAGTAGTGGAACAATGGCTTGAAGACGAAATGAATCTATATTTGTAAGGTGTTTTGTGTAGCTTCGGAAGCCAATACATAGTTGTGACTTTCATTGTATTTGGTTCTGCTTGTAAAGCGGTAGCTAAAGGTTTATGTTTGTTACAGATGTCGTTTTCTGAAAATGGAGTCAGTTGGAATGTTGGTGAATTGGTGATTTCTTTTTTACAGAACCTCAATGTAAAATTTACGTCAAACAATAATAATATTATGAGCAGCTTTATCGGTCGGGACAAAAACAAATTCCTTGGCTAGTTCTTTTAGTTTATGTTTGATACGAGAAATAGGTTTATTGTGGTTATTGTTAAGAGTAAAATGTTCTTTAAGGTAGCACTACAGTCTAACAATGATTTTTTGAAGATATTTTTTTTATCACATAATTTTGAAGTAAGTATTATTCTGCACAGTTTGTAAAAATCCCAAAGTCATTATCATATCACAACAGGGAGTTAATTGATAATGAACGTATGTAAATAAAAGCACATGTAATTAATCTAAATATATAGGCATTTGGGAGGGGCTAATATGTCAATCATCTGTTGATACCAGTGTCCAGCTGTTAATCCCTGACCACAAGATAAATATCTCATTGCATTGCAACAAAACTAATTTATTAAACATGAAAGTTCAGAACAGAGAAAAAGAAAAAGATATGAATAGGAAAAAATTTAAAGGGAAAAAATCTACCAAAATGAAAAAAAAAACTATGGAAAAGAGTGTGAATGTATCTTTGAAAGCCTCTGACTGCCTGTATAAATTTCTCGTCTTTGGTCTTCTACATTTAAAAATAATTTTAGGCATTTTAACTAATTTTAAGTTTATTTGAAATTTTTTAATTCCATGAAACTCATAAATCATGTTGGACAGTCTATTTTCAAGAAGGGGATGGTCTTGATCTTTTTATGGACATGTATTTTAATTTTAATATTTTAGCTAATTTCAGTCATCATGGTCATATTATATTTCAGAGTCTTTTTAAAATTCAAATGAAAATTATTCTTTATAGTGAGAATAATGATGTTAAATATTAATTATGATGCAGCTAGCCAATCCTGTTATTCTCTTATCTTAGCCTGTCTGGACAGAGGCGGAGCTTTGTCTTTATTTAATTACTACATCACAGATGTTGGTCAAATCTGTGACGTCAAACTCCCGCCAAATGCCAAGTTAGTGTTATACAGTGCACACAAAATGCAAATTTTACAGCATTAGAGCATCAAAGACACAATGTGTGTGGTTCTATTGATAAAGTAATGGTGTCAGAACACTCCTGGGGTGTTCCCAGTGGAATTTTTGTATTTATGTGGCATTTATAGGGGTTCTTAAGAGGAAATTCAGTTTTAAGGTCATTTCTCAGAACAATTTTTCATGAGAATTGTAAGGAAAAAATGAAAATAGAAACTTTATGGGTACCCCCTTTGGCTTGACTTTGATATATGTGATTGAAGGGAGTATTTTCTACAATACCGTGTCCCAGTTTTTGGATAATTTGTTTCTAAATGAATTTATAGGTCTCCAAAGATGAAAGGTAAAATGAGGTTTGGCATTCAGCAGTAAAAATAATATATCTTATTACTGGAGGCATATATCAAAAATCTGAGACACGGTTTTGTAGATTGTGAATGGTTGATTAAAGGGATGAAAACAAATTTTTACTACCATTTGACCTGAATGTGCCATTTTCATCCAAGTTAGAAGACCACTTTTTTGGCAATTAATGAGCTATATTTTGAGATTAATCATACCAAAAATAAATTTATCTATAGATTAAGAAAGAGTTATGTTTCAGCTTTAAAATGTGTTAAAGATTTTAAAAATCCATTGAGTAGTTTTGGAGAAATTATTCTTTAAAGACTGTTGGTTGGAGTCAGAAAATTCTGACTGTAGTGCTACCTTAAAATGTTGAATACGTATATCAACTATGTTCATTACTGATTTAAAAAAAGAGTCCAAAGATTTTTTGTCAGCTTTTTCCCGTTTTATCCATTTCAAACAGTAAGTATAGAGTGAGTCGTGGATGATATTACGACACTCATTCCAATTAATAATTGACGGGGGACGATATTTAGGTCCTTTACTGAGGAATGATTTTAACTCTCGGTCTTGAACGATGTTAAGATCTCCTGTTATAACATGGGAAATGGGTCCATAAATGTATTCGGAATTACTGCAATTACATGAAGTAGGTGTATTTTCACTGATATTAACATCTTTACACAATTGGCTATAATTAAACACAAATTTCCGGGTAGATTTCTTGTAAATATAACAAATAAGAGGGAGCTCAGTATTATCAAAATATCCCGGAATTTGTTCTTTAACAGAATGGTCGTTAAAAATACCGGCAATATTTACAAAATCAAAACCTTTATTGACATACTTTATTTTAATAAACTGTTTTTTATGATCTTCAGGGCGATCAATTTTGGGAAACAGTTTAGAATAACAATATGCCATTATAATTTGAACGATTTCATACTTAGGACTGCTATATGAAATTGTGTTGCAATCCTCTAAAATTTTATTTAACTTGTTAACCGGTAATGAACAGAGCTTTGTTAACAGATAATGTCTGCCGTTGTTTTTTGAAATGGAAATTAGGTCCGAAATATTGCATGGTATGATTGGTCCGAAATTTTCTTTGATTGCGATTTTTTCTACGACCATGAGAACGGTTTTTACGAACAGTTTTAGAAACTATATCCAAAATGTTAACAGAATCGGTTCTTGATATATTACCAATTCCCATGATATTATCATTAAGACCGAGAGGGTAGACTGTCTGTAATTTTTTAATCCAATTTAATTCAATTATTTTCCGCGATCGTACAAACTTTGAATGAGATTCACCAGGCTGATTATTTACTACTTCTAAAGGTTGAACTGCTAAATATTTAATAGGATGATTGTGCTTCTTAAGGTGTTGATAAATGATACTTTTGAATTTATTGGGTCTTTTAAAACGATACAGATGTTCTTGAGTGCGTTTAGATAAATATCGTCCAGTTTCACCTACGTACTGAATACCGCATCCCGGTTTGTTTCATGTGAGTAAATAAATTATACTGTTTGTTTTTCAAGTTATATCAGTTTCAAAATTTAAAGAAAATGTGCGACCATTAAACGTGGACCTTACCGTATTGTTGGTGGAAAGACGGGGACATGTAAGTCATTTTTTGGCATGACACTTATCGATAGAAGGGTAACCACGATTTTTATTGTTAAAAATGTTAGCGATGGTAGTATTTTTAGATAAGCGATTTTGAAGATTGCGGAGACGTGTAGATACCCTTTGAACGAGTTTAGTATTTAATATTTTTCCATTTCTAAGCTTCATATTTGTTTTTTGTTTGTGAATTATATTAGAAAGGAGCAAAGACTGGCGTCCAGAATATGAACCAGCATACAATGAATTAAATTATGTAAAAATGATAAATCTGTTCGGCTAAAGATGTCAAACGCTATCCGTATTAATTACCCGAAAAAGAAAGGGTATATTAGGGTAGCGACTGACGTCTGACTAAATAGTAGAATGGGGCTGAATATTGAAATACTACTTTTTGATAAATATTCCTAAAGTAATGAACTAGAGAAGTTCTCGCTCGGACACACACTCCATAATCTAGTATATTATAAGAGCATAAACCTGAAGCACGGGGAGGCACTCTACTGTCTCCACACGGCACTAAAGACAAACTCTGTAAAAAATAAAATTGAGAATGGAAATGGGGAATGTGTCAAAGAGACAACAACCCGACCACAGAACAGACAACAGCAGAAGGCCACCAACAGGTCTTCAATGCAGCGAGAAATTCCCGCACCCGGAGGCGTCCTTCAGCTGGCCCCTAAACAAATATATATACTAGTTCAGAGATAATGAACGCCATACTAAACTCCAAATTGTACACAAGAAACTAAAATTAAAAATAATACACTGAGACTAACAAAGGCTAGAGGCTCCTGACTTGGGACAGGCGCAAAAATGCGGCGGGGTTAAACATGTTTATGAGATCTCAACCCTCCCCCTATACCTCTAGCCAATGTAGAAAAGTAAACGCATAACAATACGCACATTAAAATTCAGTTCAAGAGAACTGAATTTTAATGTGCGTATATAATCAGTATTGTTAAAATAATTGACACTGAAGAAGGCTATTTGTTAAGCCGAAATATTTGCCTCCAAGATTTATTAACAACATCTTCGTATAATACCTTCTTATATAAGTATCGTTGTGCAAATCTCTAGACTTATATAATTTTTTCCTTATCTGCACAGTATCGTCTATTCTAGACGATCCGGTACATAGTAAATTTGCTGGTTGGTCCTTTTTATAGACTTCTATATATATATATACCAATGTTATCCACTTTAAAATAATATGAGTTTTGAATTTCTTGTCAGACCGATGTGTACAATGTAAATACATGTTCTCTCTCTTTTTACCGTTATTTCATTTTAGTTAAACATTTATATAAAAGGTTAGTTTTACTTCCGGATTTATCCGTTGTTGGTATTCAGCCGAGTACGTTCCATTTCCGGTGCAATTTTAACCAATCAAAGTACGCCAAGTACATGTGCTTCCTGTGATACACGTCTGTCAAAATTTGCGTCAACGAAGTAAATACTCTAAAACGTTAAAGTTGAATGAAAGTTAGTGAATAATTTAAACAATTCACCAAAAAGACTCAAAGAAAACTCAGTTAACTTAATTGTGTTCGTTGAACCTGAGAATGAAGATTGAAATTATGTCTTGGGTAGCACTTTCGTGTCTCTGGTTAATGTTTGCCGGTTCTGCCGCTTTGAAAGAAGGGCAATGTGAAGGTAAGAAATAATGACTGTCTATATAAATTGATGTCAGGAGCTCACTCGTATTATAATTTCACTACAGGCTATAATCAGTGGAACTGGAGTTTGGATAATTGGGCTTTGGACTGTTAGACACTCCGCTAAGCCTAAGCAAATTTGTACATACACCCCCTTTATTTTCTGTTTTACCAGAGACTTATCAATGAACATTGTTGATAGCACGTATATGTACTTAATAAAATGTTATGTCAAATCTTTCGTTTTATTTTTGAAGTATTATAACAATGATTAATTATTAATCATTGTTATAATACTTAAGATGAATAAATAAACAAAGTATGAAAACCTGATTTAGCTTATGTCTGTGCTTGTTTCCTTTAATTGTTGTCAATATTTTTGGATGACTCGATTACTAACTTATTCTATGAGTTCATTTGTGATTATTTATACTTCAACCCATCACGGTACGGGAGCGACACAAAGATTGGTACCAGTTGAAGCGGATAGAGATTGTGAAATGAAAGCTGCCGTACTTATCAAATCAATAGACAATACATACATGGCATAAGTTATCATACACTATCGAAACTTTTGTCTTTGTGATGAACATGATTGAATAAAGAAAGAAATATATATTCAATCTTTAAGGCCAAAAAAAAATATACGTCTGATTACGGTTACCCGACCGACCCTACTTTTGAGCGCCGACCCTAAGTCATTTTATTTCCGTCGTAAAGTGAAAAATAAACTGAACTCGTGTCAAAAGCGAAGTTAGTGTTGCAAATGATATAAATCAATTGCCTGATACATCCCAATGTTCACAATCGTGAGAAATGACAGCTATTTTAAGGAAAATCGCAACTTGTGTGATGCAATAAACACTTTGCCGCCATTTTTTCCCAAGGGAAATAATCCAATCATCAAAAATACGGGTAAACTCGGCCCATGATCAACTCGGACCACGACAAGTCGAAACGGCATGACTCAAAATCATGTCACAAAAAATAAAATGGAAATACCGACCTACCTACCCTATTTTTTTTAAAGTATGTAACCTTAAACAGATATATATTTTTTTTTTGGCCTAAGAGCATTAAACAGGCTACTTGATCTGAGGTAATTGGTGCCTCTTTTTTCTTGTATTAGATGGTAGTTTTTTATCTGCAGATTTAATATTTAAACATTCCTAAATCACTTGGAGAACAGGTCAGTTCACAGCATATCATTATACCAATCTTAAGACACGTGCAATAATTACAAATGTACCAAAATTGGAATTCTTACCTGTGACTACAAAATTTTACAACCTATCCGCTTCAGCTAGTACCAATATCCGGTGTTGCTCCCTTACGGTGCCCATGGAACAAATCAAAATATCCATTCACAAATTTCCTTTATCACTAATTTCCTGTTTGATACCTCATTTAAACAATGGTATGTAGAGGTTTTTCAATAATTTTAATAAAGTTTTAAACATTTACACAAATTTGCCTTTCTTGTTTACTTTTGTACCACAATGACACTTTGTGATTGCAACTCCTCTGACACCATTCAGGCATTGGACAAAAGAAAGCTCTCTTACTTTATAGGTTTTTTTTGCCATCATGTTGTTATCAGAGGACATTAAACAGTCATTTCAATATGACCATTTTTATTGAAGTTTATGGACTTTTTACCATATTTTGATTATCGTACCACAACGACACATTGTGACCACAGGCACTTGTCTCTGAAAAAATATTACCTATATATAATACTTTGATATAACACTAGGTACCCAACTCGTATTTTTGAAAAATGTCATACGGTTGCAGACTTCTGTTACATTTCGATTCTGTGGTTGTTTGTCCCACTGCAACGTGTTGTGTCGTAAATCTACATTAAATTATGTACAAAATGGTTTACATTGTATAACAGGCCTATTTTTGTTGTCAGAATCATTTGAAGCAGACCTTCCAAGTATGTCAACTGTAAATTATTTCGTCATCTCACAGCCAAATGGCAATGTAAATCTTGCGCAGCTATATTATTATTTTTATATTTTCCTTAGATACAGGTAACTATGATATACCAAAATTTTCTAATCAGAAGTGTCAAAACATTGGAGAGTTTCGTTTTCAGTGTTATCTTGTGTATGAGTAAGTTTTCATTGCATTGTACAGTCCACTGCATATACATACATTGTACATTGTCGCTGACAATGAATCTGATGTAAATATGAAATTCATTACTATTGGAAACTTATGGTTTTTTTTTGTTTTTTAGTCTGTGTCAAAGTTTTAGACAGATTTGTTAATTCCTTAGATGAGGATGTAAAAAAGAATCAAGAAAAAGTAGAACAAGAATTGAAAAACTTCTGCAAAAAATTAAAAAACAAAGAAGAAAGATTTGTAAGTATATATAAGGTTGTGCACATACATTTTCTGGTTCTCAGATTGGTGACAGACTCACAGTAAGTAGTACCTTATGACCTCTGGAAGGTTATTGGTGCATGTTTGTTAATTAATCATCATATGTTAGTATAAGTAATAAGATTTGCAATTTGAGGGAAATATTATGCTCCTTTGTGATAAATCATGAATAGGAACAAAAAACCAAGAAGGTTTTTTTCCATCGCATGTTACTGCTGCCATGCTGTTGAAGGTCTCAGAGTATATTAGTGGTTTGACCCTTCTACCATTCATGCTCCTTTCTGGAGAAAGTCTGCATGGTTTTAAAGAATTGGTCAAAGGCCAATAACTCTAATAGAATAAGAAGTCATATGTTCTTCGATTCTAATTGCAAGAAGCTTAAACCTCCAGTAAATTCTAATTTGCAGCTGTTCATATAGCCTGGATCCTTTGAATTCCTTTCTCAATTTTTAATACGCCAGAGAAAATGGGATATTGTATTATGGTTACTGTGGCTGTCAGGTATACTATACTGCAGTCCATCCATCTGTCAACACTTCGTACAATAACTCAAATATGATGTTACCATTCCCATGAAATTTTAAGACACCATTAGGATTGACGGAAGAAAGATACCTTTCCATTTCTGACAATTTTTATTTAATCGTACCAGAGTTATGTGATTTTGAAAATTTTCTGGTAGTAGTTTCAGATTTATTGGACTTAAACTGTCTAATTTAAGAAAATTTTTAACATGTTGCATCATAATTTGAGTACATGTAACTTGGATTTGATTACAGTAAGATAATGTTTGATGTTGAAAATTTTCTGATTCATCATTCTAGAGTTATGGTACTTTGACCATCTGAAAATAAGACAATTTTTTATTCTATTCTGCTTGTCTCAATTTACTACAAGAGCATGTTGACAAACTCATTATTTCTTTTCAAAATCTATAATTATTACCTAATCCATATTAATATATATTCAACTTTATTTACAAAAAACAATATCTACTGATAAATATCAAAATACAATCCTTTACTTCAAATTTCTTCTTACAATGTATAAATTTCTTTACACAATCAGTTATTCTTTTGGATTTGGTGTTTCAGACTTCTGCTAGTGTTTCTTTTAAGCTAATGGTCCATCAAACATAAAAGTGATCAATGAATATTTTACAAATGAACAGTACTGTTTTACTTTTAATGTTGTATTCTTTTGTAATATAATTATTGAGTACTGTATTTCTGTGTACTGTCATCAAAAAAGTTTCTTTTATTTTTTTTGTGATTTTGGCTTATTTAAACACTAAGTGTGCTAACTAAAATCACCAATTATAAATTGTTTCATGAAGGAAAGCAGTTTTATTTTATAGAAATTTTGCTATTGACCATGCATGACTGGAAACTTGTAGGACGTTTGAACATGTGACAAAAAAAATTCCTGATTATCACTGGCGAGTAACGGTTTGCAGATTATACACAACTTTTGACAGTACATATTGAGAGCAACTTCGAGTTAGTCTTTTTTCAGCTTTCACATTTGATAAAGAATAAAATATGCACAGTGAAATTCTGTAGTTTTAATACTTAACGCCACAACATTATGACATATTGCATTAAATTAATATTTAAATTTTATTACTTATTTAGTGTTACTACATTGGTGGATTAGAAACTTCAGCAACAAATATTCTACGTATGATATCTAAACCAATAGGCTACCATATGCCTGCAGAAAAACTGTGTACTAAGCTGAAAGAAGCAGATGGTCAGATCTGTGAACTTAAATATGGTAAGGATGGCTTACAGTTAATATCATTTATGGATAAATGTAAATTATGTTATTAAAATTATTTTGTTTGATCAATGGGTTTGATTTAACTATCTACAAATTCATAAAAAAATCATGGTTATCATTTTTTGCTCACCTTGTTCATCACTTGGTGTCTGTCATCCTCTGTTAAGTTTTACAAAGGTCTCCTCTGAATTTCTGAAACTACTGGGACAATTGGAACAGAACTTTATGAATACAAACATGTATCATCCTTAGTTTCTAGTTTAAAAAATGTTTCTCATTATCTTGCCTACCATCCTACATGGCCACCAAGGCTAAAATAAAACATAGGGTAGCATGCAAGTTTTATCTATATGATTTTGCAGATATGGATAGAGATAATTTGTTAAGGCATAAATGTTCGGAATTTGTAAATTTTAAGATGTACCAACTGTTCATTTGGACAAATGATGATTTTTACCAATTTTTTTTTTACATTTTTATACGACCGCAAAAATTGTCGTATATTGGTATGACGTTGGCGTCGTCGTCGTCCGAAGACACATTGGTTTTCGCACTCTAACTTTAGTTTAAGTGAATGGATCTCTATGAAATTTTACCATAAGGTTCAATACCACAAAAGGAAGGTTGGGATTGATTTTGGGGGTTATGGTACCAACAGTTAAGGAATTAGGGGCCAAAAATAAGCATTTTTGTAACTTCCAGACATAACTTGTGTGTTAGTGTATGGATCTCTCTGAAATTGTACCACAAGGTTCCATTTCACACAGGGAATGCTGGGATTGATTTTGGGGGTAATTGCCTCAAAATATTAGGAATTAGGGGCCAAAAAAGGGGCAAAAAACAAGCATTTTTCTAGTTTCATGACAATAACTTGTGTGTAAGTGTATGGATCTTTCTGAAATTGTACTACAAGGTTCCATATCACAAAGGGAAAGCTGGAATTGAGTTTGGGGGTAATTGCCCAAAATCTTAGGAATAAGGGGCCAAAAATAAGCATTTTTGTAGTTTCCAGACAATAACTTGTGTGTTACTGTATGGATCTCTCTGACATTGTACCACAAGGTTCATATCACACAGGGAATGCTGGGATTGATTTTGGGGGTAATTGCCTCAAAATATTATGAATTAGGGGCCAAAAAAGGGCCAAAAAACAAGCATTTTTCTAGCTTCATGACAATAACTTGTGTGTAAGTGTATGGATCTTTCTGAAATTGTACTACAAGGTTCCATATCACAAAGGGAAAGCTGGGTTTGAGTTTGGGGGTAATTGCCCTAAAAGAATTTGGGGCCAAAAAGGGGCCAAAAAACACATTTTTCTAGTTTCCAGACAATAACTTGTGTTCAAGTGTATGGATTTCTCTGAAATTGTACTGCAAGGCACCATACCACAGAGGGAAGGCTGGGATTGAGTTAGGGGGTGATGAATCATAAGGGGGTTCAAAAAATTTGGGGGGGGGGATTTTTTTTTTCTTTTTTTCCTTTTTTTTTTCTTTTAAAATTTTCCATTTTAAGTTGGTTATTTCTAATTTATATTTAAAAGCAAATAATAATGATATGGTAGGAGATACACACCAAACAGGATGTGTAAATTATTATATAATAAGTATTGTGCAATAACAAGAAATTTTCAACTGCACAGTATTGCGCAATAGCAAGAAATCTTCAATTGCACAGTATTGCGCAATAGCAAGAAATATCCAATAGCACAATATTGCGCAATAGCAAGAAATTGTCAATTGTACAGTATTGCGCAATAGCAAGAAATATTCAATTGCACAGTATTGTGCAAAAAAAGATAATTTGTATAAATTGCTTATTTCTTGACCAATTTCAATGGGGTTTTTGGGCCCCGTTTTTAAATTGGTCCACATTGAGGTCCAAAGGGTCCAAAATTAAACTTTGTTTGATTTCATCAAAAATTGAATTATTGGGGTTCTTTGATATGCTGAATCTAACCGTGTATTTAGATTCTTAATTTTTGGTTCCGTTTTCAAATTGGTCTACATTAAGGTCCAAAGGGTCCAAAATTAAACTTAGTTTGATTTTAACAAAAATTGAATTCTTAGGGTTCTTTGATATGCTGAATCTAAACATGTATTTAGAATTTTGATTATGGGCCAGTTTTCAAGTTGGTCTTAATCGGGGTCCAAAATTAAACTTTGTTTGATTTCAACAAAAATTGAATATATGGGGTTCTTTGATATGCTGAATCTAACCATGTATTTAGATTTTTGATTTTTGGGCCCCGTTATCATCTTTGTTCACATTGAGGTCAAAAGGGTCCAAAATTAAACTTTGTTTGATTTCATCAAAAATTGAATTCTTGGGGTTCTTTGATATGCTGAATCTAACCATGTATTTAGATTTTGGATATTGGACCATAATAGGTGAATGTCCAATTTAAAATTTTTAAGTTCTTAGACCACATTCATTCTGTGTCAGAAACCTATGTGTCAAATATTTAATCACAATCCAAATTCAGAGCTGTATCAAGCTTGAATGTTGTGTCCATACTTGCCCCAACTGTTCAGGGTTCGACCTCTGCGTTCGTATCAAGCTGCGCCCTGCGGAGCATTTTATTGCCTTTTGAGCTGAAATTGTCAGTTTACAGTAACTAGGTTAGTAGACTCCTTTTAGGAATTATTTCCCTTGAATGATGATTTTAATCAATTTTTTGGTCTCATTTTTGCTTTCATCTTGAAAACTAAAATAGATATAGGAAATTTTTTTATGGCAAAAATGATCGGTCAGACAAGCTCTGACCAAAGTAAGTCAACATGGTCCAAATTGCAGTTATCTCTTTAAAGGAGTGACTGCCTCTTAAATGACGCTTTTTTAACGATATTTTTTTTTAATTTGCCTATTTTGAAAAGTATAATAGATAGAGAGCAACTTTAAATAGCAAAAATTATCTACCAATCAGTCAGCATGGCCAAAATCATAAGTGGACTCCTTATCGAAGTGATCAACCCATTTGTCATGCTTTTAATGACTGGATTTTCTACATCTTTTACACTTGAACAACTCTTTAAAGTTTTGCAATTCCATTCCAAAAAGTTGATGGTTATAATTTTTTGTCCTGTCAATTTGCTGTCATTTTGTTGTTGCTATGCTTGTGCCTACATTTTTTGGTAAGATCCTGTTCAAATTTGAATGACTTGGTTTTCTCTCGTCTAAACTGTGGTTAACTTCAATACCTAATCAGGAAAATATGAATTGGGGAACCATTTTACAGGAGGGGGCTAGTTAAACTATCCCAAATTAATTCTTGTCACTGGTATAACATTTTTATTTCTAATCAGATCCTCTATAAACATGATCAACTTGTGTGATGGTTTCCACTCATCAAAACATCAAGTTCCAAAAAAAGAGGGCACCATTTTTTGGGGAGACCAACTTGTAAAAATCTTCCATGCTAGATTAATTTCATTTACCAGTATATATTGTAGGCAAATTAATAATAAACTTAAAAACTGGAAGTATAAGTACCATATTCAAGACATCATGTTCTTTGAATGAATGCTTGGAGGGATTTTACAGCAATAAGACTATCTGAAAGCTGTTCTTTTGATCTGTAATTTTAAACATTGTTTTGTTTATAAAATTCAATGGTAGGACCTCATCAGTAGTTGTCATGTCTTTCAGTATTTGTAGAACTGTGTTATGTTATTAAATGGCAAATCTTTGATTATTTCTGTTAAATTTATTCACAGCTTTTATAGACTCAGTACTATTTAGAATTTGACAGACAGATTGTATAGCAATCTGTCTGTTGTTGAAGTCTGAATGTTGCCCTCTAGATGTCTTTTGGTTATTTTTGTGGTGGGGTTGTTGTCTCATTGATTTATACCCTACAACATTTTATTCATGTTTAAAATTTACTCTTGTATTTTTTTCAGATAAAGAAATTGATCTGGCATCAGTTAATTTGAAGAAATTGAAAGTAAAAGATTTGAAAAAGATTTTATCTAACTGGGGAGAAGATAATGCCTGTAAAGGATGTGCTGAAAAGTCAGACTTTATCAAAGTGGTAGAGGAATTAATGCCTAAGTATGCTCCTGAGGCTGCCAAAAAGAGGAAGACAGAGTTATAATGTTAATACTACTTAGGGAAAAAACTATTATAACTATGATTATTGTTAGATTATTCAAAGGAAAATAAATTAATGTTTTATACATCTGCAGAAGTTTCTGGCTGATTAGTGGTATTTCTTTGAATATTGTTATTTTTTTCTGTAGAAGATTGCTAAGAAGTTTATTTCTTGCAAACTTCAACTTAAACTTTAAAATTTTCAATACACCTGAACTTACACCTAAATTATGGAAGCATTCAAAGTAAACCCCTTAAAACAATGCAAATAGTTAAAATTAGTAATGGTGGTATGATATGCTGAGCAATATAAATGTATATCATATAGGCCGATATTTGATGAAGTGCTTAAGAAATGTTAAACATTAATAAATGATTTTTGTATGGCATAAGATGTCTTGCATATGCATGAAAAGATTAACAATTCACCATAACAAGATAAAATTTTCATATATTTGAAATATAAAATTTTGTATAAAATTTTTAAACATTTAGGATTTACTGCAATAATTTATTTGCAGTTTTAGTGTTATAGATGACTTCCAGCAAGTTTGAATGTGTATCATCTTAATGAAAAAATGTATGAAGAGATTTTCATGTTTCATGGAACGGAACCGTAATTTTGAAGACTTTAAACATGAAGACTCTCTTGAGATTTTTCCCTCGGCCTACAAACATGGTTACATATTTGTTGTCTGCATTTTTTCTGGTATATATAATATTAAGGAAATAGTTGTGTTACTTTTATCTGGAAATCTATTTTAACATGACTTGTCCAGTTTATAATAGACACAGACAATAAGATCAATAACATTATATTATGTTTAATATTATTTTAAAGGTTTTGATTATATAAAGGAAATGAGGATATATATTTTTAAACCTTTGTGTAGACGATATGGAGTGAAAAATGTTATTTAAAGATGAAATGAATATATATTTTAAAATATAAGGAGGAGGTAACTATTATCAGGAAAGAAAAATTTTGGATGGTTTTCACAAGTTTAACTTAATACAATGCTGATGTCTGTTGTACTAAATGTTGTAAACATATTAAGAACCATCATATGTTGATGACTTAAACTGTATACTATGTAGTGTAAATGTAATATTTTTTAAAACTAACGTTTATTTATAATATAATTGTTTATATTTGTTTAAAAGAAGATTATTGACAAAATATATTTTCATGTGTCTTAACAATGATAATTTTCATTGCAAACTCTCTTGACATAATCTTGGGACCATTTTGGGACTTGACGGTGAAACAGTTCTTCCTCTCCAGGGATCACTAGCATGTCATCACTGAGGTTGCCTTTTTGAACCACTGCTTGTGGATAGATTTATTTGACTCCAATCTTTACCGACAAGGATTGCCAGTTTGCCTTCCGAAGGATGTGGTTCTCTATTGGTATTCTGGTTTTCTCCACCTTTAAAAACTGGCCTCTGTTATATTGTCAAGGCAACTGAAAGTTGAGTTAAATGCCAACAGACAATCACAGTACAATTCAAACATAGCAATTCACTTATAAATATGGGAACAATGCAAAGGCACATTTTAATATTTTGGGATTATTCATTGTTTGATTCAATAACCCTTTGCAGTAACTTTTCATGTTTTAATGAACATCATCAAATTAACAGGGTTTCAAATCTTCTTTGTTAATTAAAGCCATGCAGATGTATTAAGTATTTATATTACAGAAATATAAAAATAAATGACTAAATTTTCCTTGCAACTTTTTTTATTAAATGTGTATTTTATGTAGTAGGGATGTTAAAGTATATTTGCACAGAGAGTGAAGTATATAAATGCTTTTGACTGTTATTGTAAGGGATATGAATGTTCCAATGATGTATGAATGTAGATTCACTGCACAATGTGTCATTAACTCAAAGCGATCTTGTGATATCATCCTGTCATTTAGGTATAGTTGTAAACGTATGGTGTGAGTTGTTAATGAACAGAAATATTTTGTCTAAATAAAATATCTTTATGTCATGGGTTATTACTTATCTTTAACAGTTCAAACAATAGACCCAAATGTTTTTACAGTCTTTTTTTCACAGGAATGTGTATCAACATGATTAATTCATTGTATCTATACTACTGAAAAAACGAGGTCGTATTTGTTAACAAGCATGACGTAAAAACGACAAATCAAAGAATTCAACTTTATATATAACTATTATTGGACAATGGTGTTGTTTAAAAATTACACCATTCCATGTCCTTTTGTTTTCCACATAATTAATATTTAATACCAATAATTAACAAGTTCCGGGTATAATCAGACACAGATACCAATAATATATGTCACATGCAGTTTCCTGTTACCTTCTGTAAATCACTCCTCTAGCAGGGGAACCTGGAATTCTTCCAGTAGTTGTTATGCCCCCGCCGTAGTGGAGGGGGCATTAAGTTTTACCCTTGTCCGTCCGTCTTCCCAAAGTTGGGTTCCGTTCTCTAACTTTAGTTTGCCACAACCAAATGTTATGAAACTTATACACAATGCTTATAACCACAAAACACAGATCAAGTTTGAATTTTGGTGGCGTCTATTTATTCGTTCTAGAGTTATGCCCCTTTACAAATGGAAAAATCGTTGAATTTTTCGTTTCCGTTCTTTAACTTTAGTTTGCCTCTACCAAATGTTATGAAACTTATACATATAATATACATGTAACAATAACGCTATGTAACCGTAGCCTCAATAATTATTGTTACATTCGTAATTAATCGGTTCCTTACCCAACTTTGCATTCCGGCAATTAGTCTCCGATGTAACAATAATATTTTTATTATTGTTACATTTCCATGTAACCGTAGCCAGTGCCAATATTTAATCACAATCCAAATTCAGTGCTGTATCAAGCTTGAATGTTGTGTCCATACTTGCCCCAACTGTACAGGGTTTAACCTCTGCGGTCGTATCAAGCTGTGCCCAGCGGAGCATTTTATTGTCTGTGTCGACCCGCAGAATACCTAGTATACAGATGTCTTATCTTACAATGTTTCTGTCTGTCATATCTTTACTACTAAAATAAGGAAGTCCATTGTTAGCTGGCATGATGTAAAATCGACGACCAAGAATTGAACTTTATATACAACCTATAGAGGACAATGGTGTTGATTAAAATTTACACCAATCCAGGTCCTTTTGTTTTCCACATAATTAATTTTGCCAATAATTAACAAGTTCTGGGTTGATTCCGATACCAATAGTATATGTTACCTGTTACCTAATCTGTACGTTCCGCCTCTGTCAGGCGCACCACCAAACGGTGTATTTTGGATTTGCTATATACACAGTCATAATCACATCTGAACTTCGTCATTATACAGGGATTGACACTACTAAATTCAACCATTGTCACGTAGTTTCCGGTTGTAATAAGAAAACCAGGATGGGTTCAAACAGAAAGATTTTTAAAGTAGTTGCATGAGCATTGACAAGTTTCATTTCCACGGAGATTATTTGGATCCACCCCCTCAGTCATGGTCTATTGACTTTGAACTTTTGCATAGTTTTCATATTAAAGTTTGTGATTTGATTAGTTTAAAATGAATCACTCAAGGTGGATCATCAGTATATATTTCCTCAGATAGAATTTTCTTATACTTTGCTAGAATAAAGATTTTACGATGGTTTTTTCAAAAATATAATAATAAATAAGGGTCAACGTGCTATTTTTCAAGCTACAAATTTGCATAGATTGTTCATGAAAAAACTTGTTTGTGAATAAAAAGAAATATATGAGATAGAATTTTGAAATAAAATATGAGAAGATAGGTTTTATGATATGCTTTAAGAAAATAAAAATAAAAAATGGTGTCATCCAACTTGTTTTCTTGCTACAAGTAAAAAATGAAAATTTCACTATCATTCCTGTATAAATTTCTACTTAAGAGGTATCTCCCCTTATTTGGCTAAGTTGAAAAATTGATTCTATAAACACAAATATTTGGTATTTGTTTAAACATTTTGGATAATGCAATAAATCACTTATTTTTCTTTATACAAATAAACAATCTTACAATTAAATTGCAAATCTGTCTAAAAATTTGCAAATTTAGGCAAAGAACTAGACCAATTGAGTACTGCTATTGTACAATCCAAGATGGCGGTATACAGTGAATCTACCTTAAGTTAAGTAAATGATATTTGATTGCAGTTGTATTAGCATTTGCACCTATTTCCATTGAGATTATATGGCCCTGTCCCTCATCATGGTTCATTGACTGAATCTTTTGATTGTAAACAAGTCAAATAATGTTTTGGTTAGTTTAAAGGGTACCAATTATGATAAGTCTGTGGTATTTGGTATGAAGTTAAAATTTCCATGGATTATTTGACTCTTCACCTTCAGTCATGGTTCATTGACTTTGAATATTTTGAATAGTTAACATTTTTAGCTCACCTGGCCAAAAGGCCAAGTGAGCTTTTCTCATCATCCCTTGGCATCCGCCACTTGTTGTCATCAGCTTCGTCGTCCATTAACTTTTACAAAAATCTTCTCCTCTCAAACCACTTGACTAAATTTAACCAAACTTTTATTCCTATTATCTTTAAAACTGTAATAGATGTATAGAAACTTTAATAGCACAAATGATCAGCAAGACGATATCTACAAATAAACCATGATGGTCGAAATTTTCAGTTGACTCGTTATTTGAGTGATTGCTCTTTAATGATAATTTTAACATTTTTTTTATGAAAAATAAGTAAATAGAAACTTTAGTAAAGAAAAATTATCAGCAGGATAAGATCTACAAATATGTCAACATGACAAAAATTGTAAGTTAACTCTTAAACAGAGTTGTTCCCCTTTAATGATAATTTTTACTAAATCGTGGCCATTGTTGGAGATGCAGTTGATCGACACTGGCTCTTTAGAGCCTCTAGTTAAATCTTGCCATATGCTTTTTTTTTAGCTCATCTGGCCCGAAGGGCCAAGTGAGCTTTTCTCATCACTTGGCGTCCGTCGTCGTCTGTCGTGGTTAGCTTTTACAAAAATCTTCTCTGAAACCACTGGGCCAAATTTAACCAAACTTGGCCACAATCATCATTAGGGTATCTAGTTTAAATAAATGTGGATAGTGTCCACATGTGGACACAGATGATGCCCCCGCTTGCATATCATATAGTTATAAAGGGACATACCTGAAGAACGGTAAAAGTGACGCTACCCAAATTTGAATTTGATCTGAGTTTTGTGGTAATAAGCATTGTGTGTAAGTCTCATAACATTTGGTTGAGGCTAACTTAAATTGAGAACAGAAACTAAAAATTCAGCAATTTTTCTATTTGTAAACACGCATTACTCTAGAATGGTTGTGTATAAGTTTTATAACATTTGGTTGAGACAAACTAAAGTTAGTGAATGGAAACGAAAAATTCAGCAATTTTTATACGACCGCAAAAATTGAAAATTTTTTGGTCGTATATTGGTATGACGTTGGCGTCGTCGTCGTCGTCGTCGTCGTCGTCGTCGTCGTCGTCGTCGTCGTCGTCGTCGTCTGGCGTCGTCCGGCGTCGTCCGAAGACACATTGGTTTTCGCACTCTAACTTTAGTTTAAGTGAATGGATCTCCATGAAATTTTACCATAAGGTTCAATACCACGAAAGGAAGGTGGGGATTGATTTTGGGGGTTATGGTACCAACAGTTAAGGAATTAGGGGCCAAAAAGGGGCCAAAAATAAGCATTTTTGTAACTTCCAGACAATAACTTGTGTGTAAGTGTATGGATCTCTCTGACATTGTACCACAAGGTTCCATATCACAAAGGGAAGGCTGTAATTGATTTTGGGGGTAATTGCCTCAAAATTTTAGGAATTAGGGGCCAAAAAAGGGGCAAAAAACAAGCATTTTTCTAGTTTCATGACAATAACTTGTGTGTAAGTGTTTGTATATTTCTGAAATTGTACTACAAGGTTCCATATCACAAAGGGAAAGCTGGAATTGAGTTTGGGGGTAATTGCCCGAAACGTTTAGGAATTGGGGGCCAAAAAGGGGCCAAAAATAAGCATTTTTCTAGTTTCCAGACAATAACTTGTGTTCAAGTGTATGGATCTCTCTGAAATTGTACTGCAAGGTACCATACCACAAAGGGAAGGCTGGGATTGAGTTTGGGGGTGATGAATCATAAGGGGGTTCAAAAAATTGGGGGGGGGGGGGGATTTTTTTTTTTTCTTTTTTTTTCTTTTTTTCTTTTTTTTTTTCTTTTAAAATTTTCCATTTTAAGTTGGTTATTTCTGATTAATATTTAAAAGCAAATAATAATGATATGGTAGGAGATACACACCAAACAGGATGTGTAAATTATTATATAATAAGTATTGTGCAATAGCAAGAAATTTTCAATTGCACAGTATTGCACAATAGCAAGAAATCTTCAATTGCACAGTATTGCGCAATAGCAAGAAATCTTCAATTGCACAGTATTGCGCAATAGCAAGAAATATCCAATAGCACAATATTGTGCAATAGCAAGAAATTGTCAATTGTACAGTATTGCGCAATAGCAAGAAATATTCAATTGCACAGTATTGTGCAAAAGAAGATACTTCCTATAAATTGCTTATTTCTTGATCAATTTCAATGGGGTTTTATTCTTGAATTCTTGGGGTTCTTTAATATGCTGAATCTAACCGTGTATTAAGTTTTTGGATTTTGGGCCCCGTTTTTAAATTAGTCCACATTGAGGTCCAAAGGGTCCAAAATTTAACTTTGTTTGATTTCATCAAAAATTGAATTATTGGGGTTCTTTGATATGCCGAATCTAACCGTGTATTTAGATTCTTAATTTTTGGTTCCGTTTTCAAATTGGTCTACATTAAGGTCAAAAGGGTCCAAAATTAAACTTAGTTTGATTTTAACAAAAATTGAATTTTTAGGGTACTTTGATATGCTGAATCTAAACATGTATTTAGATTTTTGATTATGGGCCCAGTTTTCAAGTTGGTCCAAATCGAGGTCCAAAATTAAACTTTGTTTGAT